TAGTGTATTTCCAGACTTCAACTCTCTGGATGAAGAGCATTCTACAGTTTGTCCATTCAATTTTTTTTAAACCATTCATCCACTGATGGGCATTTAAGCTGTTTCTACTATTTAGCTATGGTGCATGGGACTAACGCGGACACTGGTGTCCAAGTCTCTGAGTCTCTCTTTTCAAGTCATTAAGGTAAACATCTAGGAGTGGGTTTGAAGAGTCAAATAGTAGTTCTTGGTTTTTTCAGTAATTCAAGAAACTGTATTACAACTATATTTTAGGCACATACATTAGTTACCTAGATCTATATATTGAAACATAATTATAGTATTTCATTAAGTGAAAATTAATTTTTAGAATATGTGATAGGATGACAGGCTCAAACTCACTGCCATTGCTTCAGTCCCAACTTAGAGTGACTTCATTGGTTCCGAGGCTGTAAATCTTAGAGAGGAAATTGCCTATGTTTCCTCACAGACCTGCAGTGGCTTCAAACTGCTGACTGCTTGGGTTCAGACCAACACATCATCACCCACTATGCCACCAGGACCAACACCATCTTTGCAACAAATAAATGTGCGTGCACACACACACACACACACAACTGTCAATACTATTTTGGAAAATAAACTGCTACAAGTCTGCTTTCTTGATTTCTCTTTCAATGGGCCAGGAAAAAGGATTTACACCCCCTCCCATCCGCTGGAGCTTTCCAACAATTCTGGAAACTGAGGAATAATTTATCCACTTCGGAAATCAAGTCTATCATCTTCTTGTCACTAATTTGACCACTATTTCTTCCTAGAAGTTAATAGTTTTTTCCTCATTCATTATAATTTGACTGTTCCCAGTCATCGTATCAGTACTGACGTTTGTGTGGGCTGTCTGGTTGATAATGGACTCACAATAACCCCATGTGACAGAGCAGAACTGCATTCTTGGCGGTAATTTTTATGAGGCTAGATGGTCAGGTCTTTTCTTCTGCACTGTGATTGGTAAGTTCAAGGCATAAAACTTTGGTTAAATGTGAGGTATTTACAAAAGTCCAAAATGAAGGTTGCATAATGGAGTGTACTTGGGTGGGAAGGGGGAGGGCAGGGGGCTTGTACACCAATGAAGGAATTTTTCTTTTACTTTTCAAAGAGAAGAGTGAATGGGGGGGCAGGGAGAAAAGTGCAACAATGAATGGAAATTCAAAATCTCTGTAAATGTTCACTAAAATTAATAAAAATTTTAAAAAGCTAAGTAAAGATATTCACACAGAATCATTCTTAGATGATTTAACTAACAAGGAAGAAAAGGGAGAATGGAAGGTAGAGAGGAATCAAATTAGAGAAATTAGATGATGGAAAACAATACAACAAGGTGACTGGTGGATAAAAAAAAAGTGACGTATTTATCCAAAGCATTACTTCTTCATGTTAACAATATTCTTCTTGGTGTGCATCATCGAGTCAGAACTAACTCATAGCTCGCCCCCTGGGAGCTTTTTAGAGACAGTTATACTTGAAAGGGAGGAGATAGCCCATCCTTCTCTGGCAGACTAGCTGGTGGACTTGCCTTTAGGACTACAACACAGCTTCTGGCCATTGGGCCAAGACAGCCTCCTAATTCTTGTACTTGGCACATTACAACAATCTCTAGCTCTACTTCTGTCCAACAATTTAGTAATATCTTAGAACTCACTATGATTAAAATATTCCTTTAAGAGTATCAACTCTGAGACTTTTCTCTGTGAACTGATGCACCCCCTACAATCATGCACTTCACCAGTCCTGTCCCTATATGCATCTTTATGTACCTCTTTCTGGTTCTCCCACTCCAGTTTCACATGCCACCCTGTCTGACATAAACTTGACACTCCACAAAAGAATGTCTTCTTTTTATGTTCTTTTATTTCTGCTCTCTCATAGATGCTGATCTAGTTCTGCAGCCCTCATTGTGCCATCATAACTTCATAGGACACTGATATCATTTAAGGTTGATCCCACTGACACCCAGCTACTCCACTTTGTCACTGTTGCTTGAAAGTTCACTTTGCTTTATCCTTATGCCATTTAACTGCTTTCAACCCTGCTCTGCTCACCAATACCACTCTGATTCCCCTTTGTTTTTTACTGCCACAGGCAATCAAGCTACTCATATATTGTGATAATTCTATTATTTTGCCAGAATTACATTTTCCAGGTATCTACTGTTAGGGACCTCTCCAGGGTCCTGAAGAGCAGTGGTGTCACTCTGGAGACTAAGGAGTGTTTGATACAGGCCATGGTCTTTGCAATCCCTTGTTATGTATCAGAGAGCTGGACAATGACTAAGGAGGATAGAAGGAGAATTGATGCCTTTGAGCTGTGGTGCTGGAGAAGAGTATTGAGGGTACCATGGACTGCCAAGAAAACAAAAAGATTCATCCTGGAGAGGGTTAAACCAGGCTGCTCCTTGGAGGCAAGGATTCTGGGGCTTCATCTGACCTACTTTGGACATGTTGTAAGGAGGGACAGGTCCTTGGAGAGGGACATCATGCTTGGGAGGGTGGAGGGACAGCGTAAGAGGGGAAGACCCTCTATGAAATGGATTGATTCAGTGACTGGGGTAATCAGGATGGGTGTGTCAGAGGCAGTGCGATTGGCACAGGATAGAGCAGGGTTTAGGGCTGTTGTACATAGGGTCGTTGTGAGTCGCAAGTGACTCGATGGCACATAACAACAACAGCAACAACAACAATCATCTTGATTGTAGACTTCATCTTACTTGGATCTCAAAATCAATACACTTAGTACCAGAAATCAGGAGATCCAGAGATATATTGCATTGGGAAAAATCTGTAGTCAGGGACCTCTCTAAATTATTAAGGAGCAATGAGTTTAAAGACTAAGGTAAGCCTGATTCAGGACATGGTCTTTTCAATCACTTGCTATACATCTTAGAGCTGGACATTGAATAAGGATGACAGAAGACTGATAACTTTGAGCTGTGGTGTTGGAGAAGAATGTTGAATATCCCATAGACACTGAGAAGAATAAATAGATATGTCTTGAGGATGGTTCAGGCAAAGTGGTCCTTGGAGACAAAGATGGCAAAGCTTCATCTCACATAATTTGAACATATTGTTAGGAGATGGTATCATGCTTGAAACGGTGGAGGATTGGTGAAAGAGAGGAAGACCCTCAAGCCAGGTAGAGTGACACAATGACTACAACAAAAAGTTTGAGTTTGTCAAAGATTATGAGGATGGCATTGAATCAGACAGCGTTCAGATCAGTTGTATATAGGGTTGCTATGAGTCATACTTGATGACACCTAACAACAATAATACACAATCATCTAAACTTTAGAGGCTCTCATACTATTAAAGATTGCCCACCCTTCTTAATTCTTTCTGGCTAACAGAATCTTTATAATGTTTGAAGATTCTGCTACAAAGTCACACTACCAGTTAAGTCCCATGTTCACCTCACTGTCAAATAACTGTTGTGATGGGCTATCTAAACCTTCTGATCATCTCTTAAAACCTCTCATGTCTAAATCCAAATTATTCTGATCAAAATAATATTTTTGTTTCATTTTTAGTTACCTTACAGTGTAAGCCACTACCTCAAATTTCAAAATAATTTATCCTATTTAACATAAAAAGCCCCAAGAGAACATATCCCACAACAGACTCCCCTTAAGATGTTATTATCAGATATTCAAAACTCATCATAAGCATTTTAATGACAGACATAACATGGATTTCATAAAACAATGCAGTTTTGTTCTCCAAATGAATCCATATTTTAAAAAACCCTAAATACTTGGCAGGAAAAATTATTTTGTTTGAAGAATCTATGTGTGCCCCAGAGTCATGGAATGATGCTTGACTGACCACAGCATTTTCTTAAATTCCTCCAAATGTTAACTAACAAATACCACTACTAAACATCTACTCAATGCCACATGGTGTATAAGGTAGTGAGAACACACAGATAAATGAAATTGAATATTTGTCTTTGAGAAGTTTAATACTAGTTTAGAAGACTAAGAGAAAACACACACAGACACACACACACACACACGTGTGCACGCACACACCAGCAGCAGTAGTGCTACAGAAGGGCAACTAATGAAGATCTGTGGAGGGCAGGGTATTGGGGTTCAGGTGTCACAAGGACACCAGTCCTGGTGACATCACCAAGGCAGGCTCACTCTCTGACCACCAACCACATCCAGCTCAACATAATGATCAGACACAAATGTATCAGATTTATTGTCTAGGAGTGGTCATGGATCTCAATCAACTCCAGGGCTATGGAGGTTGGGTCTATTATGATTTTTACTATGATAACAAACTGTTTACTATTATTTGTTGTTATATATTGTCAAGTTGGCACTGATTCTCCACCAGATTTTCAGAGGCAGTAAACGGCATTAGAGGAGATTTTCCATCTTTATGCTGCAGGGCAGCTGGTGGATTCGAAACATCTGCCTTTGGATTAGCAGCACAACTGCTTAACAAGAAGCCACAAAGGCTCCCTGACTTTTTAAATAGTATTTATTAAATCCCCTTTCAACAAAATACTGTGCAATACTATGGAAAACTACTTTTTTTTTCTTCTCTCTAAAGGTGCCTGAATGATTGCCTGGATCTATAGAAAAAAGGAATCTTGAAATGTGTAGTTTTTGTTTTTTTTATCAGGAGTAATTTGGGAAAACAATGAGAATTGTAACTTTTGTTGCCCTCAGAACTTCATCATTAGACTACAAAAAAACCAAAAACAAAAACAAAAACAAACCACCAAAAACAAAACAAAACAAAAGACAAATGAACAAGAGACTCCCTACATGCTTATCAAAAAAGTCTGTGAAACAGTGAACATATGAATGATTTTTCTGATAAAGGCAGTATTAAGCATGTTAAGAGCAAAGCATTCCAATTTCACTGAACTTCAGCATTTGTGTTTACATTGTCAAGGACAAGGGACCTTGACTGGTAGGTACGTGGTTACATGGAGCTCCAGAGGAAGCATACCGGAGGAAGCATCTAGTCTCTCCAGCCTGCTGATCAGCCAGTCCAGGGAGCTGGAGAACTGAGCACAGTTTTTGCGATTTCCTCTAATTAGAGCAGCTGCAAAACACAATAAAAACACATTTCACAATTACATCATTGTTTTTGCTTCATTTAAAAAAATCAAGGCAATCTAAAACTGTCTCTTCAAGGACAAAATATTTAATACCTAAATTTAATACCTAAAACATACACAAATACACACAGAGAACTAATACATTTAAACGCAACTGAAGAAGAGTTGTGAATAGCCTATAGAGTGGCAAAAGAACAAGTAGATATGTCATGGAGAAAGTGGCTCTTTGGTGGCAAGGATGACAGTGCTCCCCTCAGCATACTTTGGGCATGTTGCCGGGCGAGACTATTCCTTAGAAAGGGACATCATGCTTGGAAAGGCAGAGGGTCAGTAGAGGGGAAGACAACCCTCAACCACATGGTATGGCACAGTGATTGCAGCAATGGGCTCAAGTGTGTCAGAGATGATGAGGATGGCACAGGACAGGACAGGTTGCAGATACACTGTTGGTGGTGTTACTATGAGTCATACTCGACTCACCGGCACTTAACAACAACAGCAGCAGCAAAACACAAATTGATATTTATTCAAGGGAAAGAAAAAACATGCATTTCAGAAATTAACAGCGAAGTAAGGAAAGGAAAAACCCACTTCCCAGGAATTTAATTTGGATTCTAATGTCTCATTGCCTTTAATTAGCCATGAGAGTTAATTAGCCTTAAGATTAAGCCATCATTGTTTAATCACCCTCAGGTTCCATTTTCTCACCGCTAAATGTAGAACTTAAAAGTATCTCAGTTTTCCTGAAAGTGTTCCATGAAGTATTAGGGCCCTCAAAGTTAGAAGTAAGTGTTACATAAGAAAAAAAAAAAAGCATTAGGGAGGGGGAGCTGATGGCCAGGAAGTTAGAAACCTAGCTTTGTTTTTCACCTCTATCTATCTTCTCCCATGCACAATATGTATTAGACTCTTAGAGGTCTGCCCCAAATCCAAGCAAACATATTTTAGCTTTCCTTACTCTACTTTTAAAGCTCTGGTGGCCTAGTGCTAAGAAGCTGTGCTTTAATCCCAAAGGCATGCAGTCTGAATCTGTCAGCTACTCCTCAGGAGAAGGATGGGCTATCTCCTCCTGTGCAATTTACTGTCTCTGAAAACCTGCTGGAGGATGGTACATAATAAGAATAAGAACAACAACAACAATACTGCTGTTTACATTTGACTAAAGAATCTACACTATGATGCACGCCCATGTTTATTGCGGCTTTATTCACAATAGCAAGGAGTTGGAAACAACCTAAGTGCCCATCAACAAATGAATGGATAGAGAAGCTGTGGTATATTCACGCAATGGAATACT